ATATATATTTTTTTCTATTTAATATATTTGCCCTAGGGATTTTTTTATATATATATATATATATATATATATATATATATATATATAAAAGCCCAAGGGCAAATATATTAAAGAGAAAAATATACAGATAAGTTGTATGAGTGGATCCAAAAGAAGACGCCAACCCACACAGTATAAATACACACAAATCTAAAAAGAAAAAAAGAAAAGATACATATAAGATTCAAAAAATCAAAACCACCAACGCGCTCGAAAAGCTAGGGACAACCCAATTTAACCATGTCTCTGCCTCTAGTTCTCGGAAGGGAGTCAGCTAACAAATTAGTGAGGTGTGTACCATTATCCGAAGTAACCAACGTATATCCATTAAATTTTTGAGCTTAAGAAGGTCTCCATTCTACTTCTTCCTCCTGAATGTGTAAACCTATCATTGCTCGTCTGAGAATTGACTCATCTGATCAGTGGATTGATCCAAAGGTGGTCGGACATGTGTAGACTGTTGCACTCCGTGTGCCTGAGTAACATTAACAACTTGCTCGACTCGATAAAACAGTAGAAAAATAGTAGAAATATTGTCACCCGTTACATCAGTGATAGGTTCTAGGCAGGTGAAGTCTGAATTATCTCTCCCACCCCCACAAAAGGAGGTTCCATAGGCTGGGGACCTATATCAAGAGTATTGTGTGGAGGTTGAATGATTGATGTATTACCTGCGAGATAGTGACATCTTCAAGGGTATCTTTTTGATGATCAAAAGTGTTAATAGCTTGGAGTAGATCAGGAGAAGGGGGAATCGCTTCCTCTGGCAGAGCACTTTGCTTCTTTGGTCTGAGATGGCGGTGTAGATGATGACATTGAGAAGTGGAGTGGCCGAACATACGACAGTTCAGACAGTACGAAGGGAAAGACTCAATCACAACCTTTTGTCAATATCCATGATGTTGTGTGTCTAACCAATTTTTTTCAAAAGCGATTGAAGTGATGTTCTTTTCAACACATACTCTGGCTTCTAATTAACGAGAAAAATTAAAAGTAGGAATATCCGTTTTGAGTGACTTATCATAAGTTGAGGCAATAACATACAAAATTTTTTGAGTAAAATAATGAAACTTAAGACCAGGGAGGCGAATCCAAACCAGAAAGATTGGGATTTCATCTGAGGATCAAAATCCACAGACTATTTCAGAATTTTCATTGCTCTGTTATCAATCCAGATTATCTTTCTAGCAAACAAACGCGTGTAATCCTCTTTATTATTAATTTATATGAGAATGTGTCTTCCATCTAACAGTCCAATTTTCCGCTCCCCAACCAGGTGCATAAGCTCAAATTCTTTACGAATCAGCTTCGTTTTGGGATGACTATAGAAATATTTCCCAACTAAATTCAGTCGACAGGAGGAACCAAACATGCCCTTAAACATGACCCGTGTGCGTCTTGCTTTATGTCTAACTATGATCTTGATAAAAAATACTTTTAACACGATTTGTAAGTCTGTCAGACATGTTGCGACATGTCAGAGTCTTATTCATGTCTGTCACATATTTTGACATGACCACCAATATATATATATATATATTTGAGACAGGCTATTAAGCACTCACATTTTAAATATGTATATCAATATATATATATATATATATGTATGTATACATATATATATATATATGTATGTATACATATATATATATATATGTATGTATACATATATATATATATGTATGTATATATATATATATATATATACATACATATATATATATATACATACATATATATATATATATATATTGATATACATATTTAAAATGTGAGTGCTTAATAGCCTGTCTCAAATTATTTTCTTCCTATTCCTGCTTGAGTGTTTAATGCTTTTAGAATCATGGATTATTTCTCCCTTCTTTGACAGCTTGTTTCTATTCCTTAGCTCTGCCCTGTATTTGTATTCATATTTGTTTTCAGTTCGCATAATATCATTAGTAGAAGTAATTTCATTTTATTTGCCAGTAAAATCTTGTCTCCTTGTTGCTGCACTAGTTAATGTTCAGTTTTCTTAATTTGTCTTTGTCAAATTTGTTTTTTTCCCTGGAGCGAGTTTCTAGTATTTAAACTTTGCAGACTGGAGCTATGAAACTAGGGAAGGATGCTCTTGTACTTACACAGTCCTCGACATCCAGATCTATTGCATTTTTATCACAGTCATACAATGAGAACAAAGATGTATGTATCGTGCCTCATTTATTTTTTACTGAACTCTACTGAAAACTTCTTATTATTATTTAAGTTTTTTATTTGGTGCAGAACATAGAGATTCCCATTGTTTCTTATATTAAAAATGGGCGTTACATGGAAATAGATGCGAGCATCCAATCAGAAGAATTAGCAAACTTCAATCTAAGTGCCATCAAAGAATTTTCTCCATTTAATGAATACTTGCTAGGAGAACAGCTTGGATTATATGGCAAAGATGGAACTGGCACCCAGATCTTCATTTGGAACTTAGATAAATGGTGTTCAGACTATACTTTGGTATGGAATGATGAAAACGATGGTTGTCAAAAAGGATTGGGAGACATAATCATCCGTTCAAAGAGAATAAGATCACGTCTTGGTCAAATAAGCTGTGAGGTAGTTGCTGTGCTATTGCCTGTTTTCAAATGGTTCTTGCTGTGATACCCTGTTTTTTGGTTATTTACTAATGATGCTTGAATTGTGTTTTTTTATTTTATATTTGGTTTAAGAGAAGTAATTCTTCTTTTATTTTAGCTGTTTGGTGCTATCACTTATTTTTTTTTTAATTTTCCTTTGGCTTTTTATGGGTTTCATCTTATTTTTTCTCACCGTTGTAAGGTATTAACAAATATTGTACTTATTTTTTGAATTCTGCTCTTGCAAATACAGGTGCCCTTGGATTATTCCCTTCAGGCTTATCTGGAAGTCCTTTTCTTAAATCCTCGCATGAAAATATTTATCCAAGGCTCATTGGTAAATTTTCATATTTCTCTTATGCTTCTCCCTCTCTCTCTCTCTCTTTCTGTGTGTGTGTGTGTGTGTGTGTGTGTGTGTGTGTGTGTGTGTGTGTGTGTGTGTGTGGACCATGGTTTTGATTATTATTATATGCATATATATTTTTATTTATTTATTATTTTTTTTAGGTCAAAAGCCATCCTCTAGAGAAATCTCTGAGTAGAACTGTTGCAGTAAAAGGTAGCATAATGGCTAGACCTATTCAGCTTGTACTTGGAAGGAGTCAGGTAGAGTGGGAACGAATGAACGGTGGGGTATTCTTATATTGGAAAGGTCGGCTAATTGAGGTAAATTTGACTTTTCTTGTAGGTCTTTCTAATCATGCCATGTAGTTGGAATTAACTAAAAAGTGGGAAACGAATATTATTGCTGAATTCAAATATGAAATAACAACAGCACAATAACAAGTCTGAAATTGCGACAAACAATAACACAAACTTAAACTATTGTTAGATCAAGGGGTGGTGGTGGTGGTGGTGGTCGGCGCTTCTTTGGAATGTGGCGAAATGTTGAAAAGAAAAAACAGCAGGTTGGTTATTTCCAAGGTTCCAAACAACAAGCAAGCGGCGGGGATTTACGTGGAATCGCTTGCAAGGGGCAGGCGGCTAGCAGCGTGGACAGAGGTACGTGTTGCATGTTGGGAATGATGGTAGCGAGGAGGCGGCAGGTTTGGACGTGGCGACAGAAAGGTGGAGGGGGAAGGGAGAGTAGCAATGAATCGCTGTTTTGCATTGCTACAACTAAAGAGACAAATTGGAAGCAGTGTGGGAAGGATGCGGAAGGGTAGAGGAAGGATAAACACCACCTGAACAGTGAGATACAACTGGAGCATAAAATTCAGACTCTTGGATACAACCCTTGAAGGGAAAAATGTTTTGTCGGCGGCTGTCCCGAACAAACACATGACAAAAAAATACTGTAATAGTAACAACAGTGTCATTGGGGGTTCACAAGGGCAACATACGCTTTCTGTATGGTAATATCCTCCCCAGGTGGAACTAAAATTTCCAGAGCAGTGGGGTTAGACCCATCTTTATTCAATTGAAACTTAGATTTCAAATTATGATGGAGCTTGTGACATTTATCAAGGATATGCCTAAACATCTTTTAGGGGTGCAATATGGGGGTCTGTGTTTCATGACGATTTTTTACCAATATCTATTATGGGTTATGCCTAGCCAGACTTTAGTAACATCAGGTAAAGTAATATTCATTTCCACAAATATTCTGGCCACAGAATGTCTGGTTAGGTTGAAAGTAGGCAGATCTAGCTTCAAAGGGTCTCCAAGGATGACCTCAGCAGAGTAGAGTAAGTAGAGTACCTGATGGTGAAAAAATTCAGCTTGAGACCGGGTAGACTAAACCATACCAGTACAGTAGGAGTTTCATGATTTGGGTCAAAATCAGGGGACCACTTGAGTAACTTCATTGATTTCTCTGCGATATTAAGATATGTTTTGGAGAAAATCCGGGTGTAGCCTTCAGTGAAGATTAGTTGAATAAACACGTGTCCCGTCCATGAGTCCCACTATTCACTTGCCTACTAGTTTAAGATCATCAACACTCTTTGTGATAACTTTGATAGGTGAGTGCTCTACTGAAATTTTTCAATTTCGTCAGGGTAGAAATTTCCGAGTCAGAGAAAAAGATTGCTGTTTTTCCACTTTTCCTACTTCTCTTCTTAACAAAAAGGCAATCACTTATACATCGCGACAATCTTTATAGCATGAAGAGAATATCACGACAGACTCCACCTGAGGGTTACCCACCACGCGGGCAAAAGAGGCCTTTGCCGGTCCATAGAAGAAGGAAATGCCATCATAGTAATGAGATGTGCCGGCGTTCACTTGCAGCGTGTTCCAAACAAGCAGACATATATATATATATATATATATTCGCCAAAATAAAAATTTTATTTGTAACAAGTAGGTAGAAAGGTTTTATTGAGCGGGTGCTAGGAACTCGCTCATAAGGCGTACAAGACTTAAGAAGCTAACAAAAAATTACAAGTATACCTTAAAAAAGATGCACAATCCCCCTAAACAGATAAAAACTTCTCGAGAGGAGGCTTCATGTTTGAGGTGTAGTATCAGAATTCCACCAGAGAGCTTAATCAGGGTGAGTGGGCTTTCCTCTCTCCGGTTCTAGAGAGGGAGTTGAGCACCAAACTGTGATGCGGGCTTCCACCCAAAACGAGCGAAGCAACTTCCTGTAAATTTCTTTGTTCATTTAGTCATTTTTTTCTTCTTTTTGTTTTTGTAAACTTGTTAAACATCTTCCAAGGGTTGTCTCAACTTATCACTAAGCTAATCATCAATGGGGCCAATTTCTATCTGTCGTACACCTTAAACATGACACTCCGCCATGGTTTGAGGGCCTTCAACATCAATAATAAATCTTTCCATAGACATGGAACATCATCTGTCACAAAAAAGAAAGTATCATCATTTGCAACAACATGAGGGGGATGAGTTAGTGAGGGGTGCTCCTCTAAAGCAAAATCAATGGCATTATCTTCTCTAGTTGCAGTTTCCACCATATCAACCTGTGGAACAGGTGCTTCTTGAGGAGTTAGGCGAGGTAATTGAGGTTGGGGTCTTAAATTAAAATGGTGCTTGAAATATTTTTCAAGTGTGTCCAAACAACTTACAATAGGTGCAATAATATGGTCTTCGTTTAATGGCAATTTGTTTTCAATAGCCATTATGTGGAGTGCCAAGCCAAATTTCTTCAATGTAAGATAATGTGATATCTCTCTCCACAAGGATCCTGACAACAGAAGATCTGGTGAGATTAAAAATGGGTATGTCTAATTTGATTGGTTTTCCAAGCATGATCCCAATGGAATAAAGGACATGATTGTTGAAAAGGTGCAATTTAAGCCCAGGTAACTTAAATCATATTGGTACTATAGGTGGTTTTTTGTTCGGATCAAATTCAGAAGACCATTTGAGCAACTTCATAGTTTTTCCTTCAATAGTGAGGTATTTCTTGGAGAATATCCTAGCGTAGTATTCGTTTCTAGTCAATGTATCGTCACATGCCTCCCTTCAAAGAGACCCGCCTTCCATTGTCTTACAAGCTTTAGATGCTAAAAATCTTTGCAAATAACCTCCATTTTGGGATGCCTCAACTGAAATTTCCCAATGAATGTGAATTTGCATTTTTCAACCAGATTAGGGACTTCGAAGTCTGAAAAAATAAGAGTGGCCTTACCACCCTTCCTACTAGCCCGCTTAACAAACGGATAGTCGGCTTTCCCTTCAAGAGAATCTTGGTTGGTCTAAGGAAACACCACATGGTTGACAACCTTTTCAGAGCCTAGTCCTTTACCAAGTGCATCAATAAAGGATTCTTTGCCTAGGTACTCATTCAGGGGAGGAAAAGTGGCCATCGAAGAAGCAGACAAAAACTGGAGAAAGAAACTATTGAACGTTTGTAAAGGAGAGGTGTCGACGTGAGCGCCTAGATGAGCCGATGAAGCGATCGGTGTGACCCTCTATCCTCTTCTTCGAGCATGCCGAGGCGACGGCCTGCTATGAATCCCCTTCCTGTCTTGTGTGAGCACAATGAGGTGACAATTGAGGCGATTGATGCGATCCCGAACCCTCTTCTTCGCAACGAGGCGAGGACCTACTGCGAAGCAATCCCCTTCCCGTCTTCTATGACTCGATGAGGTGACGAACCATTCTCATTATAGCTACTTGAGTCGCCATGTCGCGAACAGTGTAAACCCTAGTGGAGCAAACCACCCCATTATTTACACGCGCACACACACACACACACAAACTCTCTCTCTCTCATGATGATTTTCGTCATCTATATGCTAGGATTTCGCTCGGCGATTTCCATCGTCTATGCTTCAGTCGCTCCCAAAGGAGAAGGGCTTGCACCTCGTCGTCTTTGTTTCGACCTTAGCTTACTGCGTTTCGTCGTCTCTCTGCTTCCGTCGTTTTGCGTCTTCAGCTTTGTCTATTTTGACGCCGAGCTTCTGTTGGATCGCATCTTGACGTCTCCGCATTCGACGCTTACATCGGAGCGTAGTAGCATGTGGACTCTGCTTTGATGGGTGTTCTCCCTCCTTTGGTTGAACCCGACAAAGCTTCTTCGCCCATGTGGTGTGTAATCATCTTGTGGAGTCAGTTGTAGCCTTCTCCCCTCAAGCTACAAAGAATGTCGTGATGATACAAGTGACTGTCATTTTGTTATGAATACAAGTAGGAAAGATGAGAAGAAGCACTCTTTTTCTTTGATTTAGAAATTTCAACATTCATTGAAAAATGTAAGTTCCCTCTTATTGGAAAATTTCAGTAATCGAAGTTATCAGAAAGAGTTTTGATGATCTCAAACTAAGGGGCAAGTGGAAAGTGAGACTCATTGATGAGAGACTTGTTGATTCAGTTACGCTCAAATTTTCTCTAAAAATATCTTAATATTGCAGAAAAGTCAATGAATTTACTCAAGTGGTCTTCTGATTTTGAACCAAATCATGAACCTTCCACTGTACCAGTATGGTTTAGTTTACCTTATCTCAAGCTGTATTTTTTTAATCATCAGGTTCTCTATTCTATTGGGGTCATATTTGGGGATCCTATGAAGCTAAATCTATTCACCTTAAATCTAACTAGGCATTTTGTTGCGAGAGTACTTGTTTTAAGAGATATTACTTTCATTGATATTACAGAAGTCTGGCTGGGTACAACATATAATAGATATTGATAATAAATTGTCATGAAACATAGAACTTTTTATTGTACCCATTGTAAGATGTTTGGGCATATCTTTGACAATTGTCACAGGCTCCATCCTCACTTAAAATCTAAAGCTCAGGTGCATAAGGATGGGTTTAACCCCATTTCTCTGGACACATCTGCTCCACCTATAGAGAAAATTACCACAAGACAGGAATTGGTGTCTGATTTAATTGCCCTTGGGGACCCCCTGGCAATACTGTTTCTGTTTCTGCGATTGATGTATTGCCGGATGGCTCTGATGGGCAACCTACACCTTCAAACCTTATTGAAAACAATAATGAAGAATCCTTACCTACAAAGGATAATGTTTGGACCGATAATCAGGAGAGCCTTGTAGCTCCTCATCTTCAGGAAATATCCGGTGCGGAGGCGACAATTTGTACTTCACATACACTATAACCTATTGTGGTTACAATGGTTGACAATCTTTTTACTACGATTCTACCACCTTATCCGATCGTGCAAGTCGCCGTTAGTCAGGCGCAAGGGGCCCATCAGCTTATACATGCCTGACAATATGTTGGCCAATACAC